TTAGAACCTGGCGTGAAAGAGATGGCGCTTCTTAAATCGAGTCGCGTTCAAATACATTGTCAATATACAACGCAAGTGATACTCGATTGGGAGCGGCATCAATACGATTTGGATTGAAGTGCAAATACTGTAACGATCAGACATTCTATACTTTCCAAATGCACTCACACTGCTCATATGAAAAAATAATGAATTTTTTTGTTTGTTTCGATTTCCAGCTGTGAGTATGCGGTATGACAACGTTTCAATGGATATTCGCGTCCTTCGGGACATTACTTTGGCTTGAATTTTTCTGGTTTTGATCTAAAAAAAAAAATCAAAATCGATATTATTTAAAAGCCACGAATAAAAATATAAATATTAGGAATATGAGTCAAAATTAGCCCAATCATTGGTTGTCAAGGTTGATCCACAAAAACGATTCACTGAAAAATGTAAAAAAAATGATTTCCTTGCAAACAATTTCATCTTGATATGATTGAAACTATGAAAATAAATCATAGATCATCGTATTGTATATCGTCTAAATCACCTGCAGAATATTTATTGAGCATTTCGTTGATTTCATTGTTGCTAAGCATCAGCAAATTTATTTGCCGCTTGAGTGAAAATTGAATATTTTTCAATTTCTTTTTGGCATCCAGATTGTCTTCATTTGCACTATTTTTTAAAAGAATAAATATTTTTTTTCATAAGAAACATATAATACGAGGCAATTGGTGAGTCATATAGTCAACATACGTCATATATATATTCATAGAGCCACTAAAAGAACCGACAGCCTTAGACAAATGTTCCATTGCCACAGTTGGTGAATTGGCTTTCGTTTTTTTTTGTAAATCTTCGTGTCGGTGCTAAATAAAATCAAAATTAACGTTTGTACTTATTTTAGAAGTTTAAATGTGGTTTTTTTTTCTTACTATTATTAGCACTTGAATCTGTATCGCTTGTTTGGCTTGAAGCGGTTCCTATCATTGGTGTACTCATTCCTTGAGCCGCTGGTAAATCAGTTGATTTCGGACCTGTATCGCTCATTTTGCTTAACTTCAAAATCTGACTTCACAGGATGATTGGGGGTGCCAAGGAATAGAAACCATTAGATTTTGAGCGACTTTGGTTGATACAGTGAAGTGTCATGTCTGGTGTGAAGCCCATGGGCATCCATGGCAAAAATTCAATTTTTCTTCCAAAAGTCGTATTTAATGTATTCTTAAACACTCAAAAATATGTATTGGGGGGTTTTTGGGTACGAGAAAACCGAATCTGATATTAGTTTTGCGATACAAATAATTTTCGACACACTTTTCATACAAACATTTTGAAAAAAATCGATTTTTGTATAGAAGCCATGCCTGTATGATATCGTAATGAGCTGAAACTTTGCACAGGTTATTTTTATCACACATAAATCACATTGCGAGAGTTTGAAGACATTTCAGTGCATATTAGGAGTATCTCCCGAACAAAATTTTGGATTTTTTTCAAACTTCCAGAATGTGGGCTTTTTGTCAAAAAATACCCTGTGCCAAGTTTCACGTCGTTACGATATCATACAAGCATTGATTCCATCATAAAATTCCCATTGTAAGTAATTTTTGTATAAAAAGTGTGTCAAAAGTTATGTGTAACGCGAAACTAATGTCAGATTCAGTTTTTCGTGAGTTCAAATTCAAGTAAAAGATATGTAATAAATGCATGTTGTTGATCATAACAAGGACCATTTCACCTTCATCCGGTATCAATACGAGCATTACACACGCTTCTGCATGTGTTTCCACAAACAATTGATTCTTGCGCAATCCACCACAGATTAATAGCGAATGGAATGGTTTGTGGCCGCTATCTTTTAATTGATCCAAAATGCGCGAATCAGATTGAATGGCCAGATAATTGGATGCAAACCAATTGTGAAAATGTGGCAGCTAATGGAATGTAGCATTGAGTTTGAATCGGTTAGGAAAATAAAAAATACGTTAAAAATGTTTTATTTTTCGAAAATATTTTATTTTCTTTTTCATTGCGAAAATAAATTGCGATAATGCTCAAAAGCAAATAGGTTATTCATAAAAACCATGTACTTCTACCGGATTTACATTACTACTTCAAAATATGGTAACTGTGACCTTTAGTTTTTAATCACTTTTTCCAAAACAAATTCATTTGAGACATTTTTTTCGTTATGACATTTCAACTAAGGGAAGGTATCTACAAATTCACGAAATAAATGCAGCCGATTTATTATCAATTTTAGCTCGGCACACTGGACAACTGATTTTTATCTTCGCCGAACAATCTTCACAAAGGCATACATGTCCGCATGGCAAACAAATTACCTACAAAGAAAATATACATGACAAATTTAATTTAAGTAAAAATATTTTTTTTAAATCTTATTGTCAGACATTATAAAGAGATACTTTCAGCCAGATGAATCAGCTCAGCCAGATATCGTCAGGAGCTGAAATGGAGTGAAAACAATAAAAGTGATTGTTATAGTGATTATAGCAATGTAAGTGTAATTATAACCATAACAATCACTTCTATTGTTTCCACTCAATTTCAGCTGCTGACGATATCTGGCTGAGCTGATTCATCTGGCTGAAAATATCACATTATAATGTCTGCCTATTGTTTTTTTCTCGACTTTAAATAATATTTTAAAACTCACTTCTTTTGGATTTTCAACGCAAACAACGCATTTCTCGTCATCTCTCAATTCAACTGGTCGGGGTCGTGATTGTTGTCTTCGTTCACGGCGTGATTTCTCCAACGATTCCTTCAATTTTCGTTCAATTCGTTCTTGTTTCTTACGTAAATAGATTTTTCTGATAATTATAGCGGTCAGAATGCCAGCAATCGTTCCGCATATGATAACTTTTGATCTAACATTTTTATAAAATATCAAATTAGTAAAATTAGAAAAAATGTGTGTGTTTTTTTTAAAATGAATTGTTCACTTACAACATTCCATTTTTGGCCTGTTCGAAGCGGCGAATTAATGAACTTTTTGTTGCTGTTGTCAAGAACATTGGTCCAATATTCGATTCTTGTAATTTTAAATTATTTCCATCGAGTTCCAATTCACCGACAGCCGTTATGAAACTGCCATCTCGAAGAATTTCTTCTGTTGTTTGCAGTCCACGTTGTCGAATGCCCGAGAAGAAACCAAATATATGATCGAAAAATGACAACGACGATGGTTCATAGCTATCATGAATGATGTCCAAATCTAAATGAAAAAAAAAATTAATTAACTATTAATTTGTTATCAATACAAATCGTGTTTACTTCAATACACAACGTGCCGTCAATGTACCTAAAATGTCAGCTGATAATGGATCGATAATTTCGATGCCAACGTCTTTGTTGGTCAATTTAAATGGCACTTCGCTGGATGATATATGGAAGAGTTTTCGATTTTCCGTCCAAAATCCAGCAAACCCCCTGGTTATCCGATGTTCACTGAAAATAGCATTCCAATTATTTTATCAACGAATTTTCGATGGGTTTTGCGTTTCGAAGTTGAAAACTCACTTGACTTTGATAACTTGAAGTACGCCAGTAACCGATGGTGACATAATGCTAAGCAATGGCGTTCCAATCGGTTGGACGGTGCCACGAACAATGGCATACGGAATTTTTTTATCCTGGTGTGATCCAACATAGCTACTGAGGTCTTTATCAATGTTCAATTGAGGTGCATCCTATAACATGTAATAGACCATAAAATCAACTTGAAATTTTAAATAAAAATCCAGAAATATTTACCTTCAATGCTTTGATCGTATTTTTGTGGCTGTGGTAGCCTTTGAGGCACAGTCCAAATATGATTACATCAATGCCCAAGATGATTGCCTCTTGCAAATAATCCAATCCAATGGTATTGTTCATATTTTCATTTGTTTACGAAATAAATCGTAGTTTTTGAGGTTAGAAACGAAATTTTTGCTCGTAACTAATTTTGTGTGCGATGTCGTATTGTTTTAAAAATAATTTTCATATTATTCGGATGCATTTGGAAAAGATTTTGTGCAAAATCAAATTCAATATTTACTTTAATTCATTTTCACAGCACGTAATTTATGGCTCATGGAGTCTGTGTTGTGTGTGTGCATGTATTTGAAATGTCAAAGTTGGCTGACATTCATTATTCACAATAGAGAGTGTTTTTTACTTCGTTGCCTTTAGTGCGCGAAATACGAAAGTTAAGAAGGAAGCGTTGGAGAGAGAAATGCACAAAATGGATGAGACAAAGATATTTAAGCAGTAAATCTGTTTGCATTTCTCTATGAATGTGAAATTGTGCACAAACAAAGAAGATTCTTTTCGGTACAAATTGAAGAATTCATCCTCTTCACAGGTATATTCGTTCAAAGTGCACGTTTATATACACAAAAAAGCGATTGTTTTAAAGAAGCCATAAAGAAATATGTTAATTTTCTTTACCTAAACGTTTCGGTACGGTGTATTGAATGCTAGAACAAAGTAATAAACTAAATAAAACAAAGGTCGATTTTTTTTGTAAGGATTTTCTTTCGTTTTTCTTAAGAATTATTACAACTATGCCCTATAGATAAATACATAAAAAATTGAAAGTCAAGTAAGGAACAAAATTAAAATAATTCTAGAAATAAAACCATAAATGATAATGTAAAAGAATGGATGATAATGTAAAAAAAAATTACAATAATAAAAGTACAACATGAACAATTTCTCAAAATATTACTTTGGATGCCAAACTGCAACCAAGTTACCAAGTTAACAAGAATATGTTCATATTTTAGTTTTTTTTTCTTTTTCTTGTATTTTCTTCATTTTTTTTTTTCTTCATCTTAGCTTATATCTTAAATATTTCGAAAGGATTTTTGTTTTTCAACGGCTCATAAAACGTGTTGTATGAGCAAAAAAATAGAAATAAAAACAGAATCGCTTCCATATAACAGTGATCGTTTGATGTTTGAATTTAAATTAGGAACATTTTGATTTTCGCATCAAGCAAGGCACTAAATGGCAATTTTTAAATGATCCCAATTCTCAAATAACGTAAGTCTTGGAACCTCGAGTACAGTACCCGGTGACCGAATTTCGACGCTAACGTCCTTTTCTTTGGCCAGATTTAATATTTCATTGTAGCAATTTAATGCGATGTTATATAACTTAATATTACATGATAATTTTGAAATACCTCTACAATAGACCAAAATCGTTGCAAGTTCTGTGAGCTCAATACGTTTTTTACTTCTTACAATTTGAACATTTCTCAATGTTCTTTGACGTCGAAGCACATTTATTAATACAATATTAACGAATCTCATATCGGGTGCTGAAAAATACAAGCATTTTTCCGATTTGGAAAGAACCATGTCGCAAGAATCCTCCCAACGTTCAATTAAAATTCGTACGTCTTCAATGTGTAGATTATTTTTAGCAAACGTATCCAAAATGATTTGCAGTGTTGTTGCACAAGAAATTGTTCCAAAATAAAAGGACTCCAAATCGGAGAGTTTGCTCAAGTGGTTCATGTGTTCCTTTAATTTACGTTTTGTCGGATAATTAACACATGGAGGCTTAACATTTAGTTTTTTTAGATTTGGCACACAGTTCGAAATGAGTGGGTAAAATGACGATTCAAATTGCATCCCAACCAATGTTAAGCATTCGAGTTGTGGAACCGTAGCCAAAAATTGGAAAAATGTCTCATTTGTTAAGACCGAATTATAGACGGCATTATCGTACTTGATAAGTTCCTCCTCCGATAACTCGAGTACATATTTCGATCCACATGGTATCGGTTCAAGATTAACATTCAATTGTTTTAGATTTGAATTAACTTTCAAGTTTCGTGGTGTGGCATTGAATAGTTCCAATATTTCCAATGATTCAAATTTCTCGGTTTTTTCAAAATTTGGAATTGTACATTTCATATCGACATTGCATCGAATCGTTAGTTTCTTCAGCCCTTTTCCGCAATACTTGGATATTAATTGAAATATGTAGTCGGTACGCTTTTGATTCAGTGTCGATATGAAGTTAAGCTCTTCAAACATTGGTCCAAATACTTTTATAACATGTTCGACTCGTTCAAAGTTGGACATACAAAATGAATCGGTTTCATGTGCAAATAATTCGATGGATTTGAATCGATTCGGAAAACCACGTATTGCGCTTTCTTTGAACTGTGGATGCACCAAACCAATGTTCACTAAATCCTTCAATGTTCCAATGCGGCGACAAACTGCTTCAAGACAATCATCGTTGAGAGTGGTTAAAATAGTTTGTGGTAAAGTCGATGGTGTATTCATCTTCAATTCTTTTCTTTAAATTCCGACGTCTGCTAAATCCAAATCGATTTTAATTGGTTTAAAATTTAATTTAAGCTTTTCTTTTCACTGTTCAATCACGATTATAAATGAGCGTTTTGAAAAGTTTATCGGTTTTTATACACTTTTTAAATTTTTTGAAATCAATAACTGGTGAAATGAGAGTTTTTTATGGCAAAGTATTTCCTTAGCGAAGGCTGATGTGAAGCGGGTGAGTTCAGATCACTGAATAATGTATGTAGTTAAAAAATATAGTTTAACTCAGACAAACTGTTTATAGTCATAATTTAAATGCTTGTAGACAGCATGTATGTCATTAGTAGAACTTTGTACCAGACACTTTGTATTATAGCAAAATTTTGCGTTTTGAATGAAATTTGAATGTGGCGCCACTGTTCCATGTGTGACAGATGCGCAGTGAAGCAAAATTGAATACTGGTGTCGCTGTACGTTTATCGATTTATTTTGACAGCCATGATAGTATTCGATACTACATTTGACAATACGGTAAACATCTTAATTGTGTGACCGGATTTTTCTATTGCTTCTAATTTCAACAATAAGAACATAAATTAATTGATATATTGATTTTATCACATCGAAACGGTGAAAAATTCGTAAAATAAAAATGGTCCGTGGAAATATTCGTGCACGTCGTGATCATTTACGTGGTCCAAGAGCGACATTCAGAAAGGCATTTTTACCAAGACCACCATTCGATTTGGCTCGATTTGATTTGGCATTCCAAAAAGATGCCACACCAACATCTGATGACAACGATTTGACCAATGTAAGTTGTTTAAATATTTTTAATGCAAATATTCATTTTTTAAAGAAAAAGAGCACAATATTCACTGTCTTTTATTTGCAGGCATTATTGAAACGTAATCAAGACCTAACACCCAGTGCTCAGGAACAAACAGCGATCTCAAATTTGGTGACAAAAGTACAAAGTATTTTGGATAATTTGGTCATTGCTCCCGGTGATTTTAACACTTGTGTAAGTATTTAAAATTCGATTCCATGTTGATGAAAATCTTACCAAATTCTTTGTATTTAAAAAAAAAATAGCAACTGGAAGAAGTGCGCCAGGTTGGATCGTATAAAAAAGGAACAATGTTAGCTGGTCATAATGTTGCTGACATCGTGGTTATTTTAAAGACATTACCGACAAAAGAGGCGTGCGAAGCATTGGCCAAAAAAGTTGATGAAGAGCTGAAAAATGCCATGAAAACCGAAGTGGTCACCAAAGCCGATGCATTAACCATTGAAAATAATGAAAAAGGTTTTGACGTTTTCAATGTGCATGCTCGTGTACGCATTTTGATAACAACATTACCGCAAAATATTCGCAAATTGGAACCCGAAACGCATCTGGATGCAAAAGAAATGCAAAGCCATTTGGCAGCCATTCGTCACAGTCGCTGGTTTGAAGAGAATGCACACCATTCATCGATAAAAGTACTAATTCGTATTTTGCGCGATTTGGCCAATCGATTTGAAGGATTCCATCCATTGAATACATGGATGATTGATTTATTAGCACATTTTGCGATAATGAACAATCCAAGTCGTCAGGCTCTTGCCATCAATATTGCGTTCCGACGCGTTTTTCAACTTCTCGCCGCCGGTTTATTCTTACCCGATTCTGCTGGCATTTTGGATCCATGTGAAAAGAACCATTCACGCGTATTCACAAGCTTATCACTCGAACAACAAGACATTTGTTGTATGACGGCTCAGGTATGATATTTTCAGCCGCTTTTAAAGCATTTTTTAAAAATAAAACACATTTTCAATGACATTTTAAATGGTTTATTTTCTTTTTCGAACAGACTCTACTACGTGTACTCGTTCACGGTGGTTACAAGCATATCTTGGGCCTTGAAGGTAACACCAGCATTGCTCGTGAAATGTCCATTTGGGATGGAGTCGTTGTATCTCCAATGCAACCAGTCTATGAAAAACCGGACGATAAAAAAGAGGAAAGTACTGCAGAATTCGATGGCGATGCTATGGAAAATGAAGAAGCAATGGACGAAATGCAGTAGATAAACCAAAAACTACTTATTTCATCACTTTTCGTCTTAAGTTCATATTTTGCCGATACATTTTAAAGCAGACATTTGACTCTAATTCTTATTGTGAAAACACATTTAAAATAATAAATATGCGATGGTGCACCAAACATAAAAGGCGTTTTTATATCTGTTGTTTGTTATGAGGTGCAATTATTTGTCTAGAGCCATAAAAATGGATATGTTATGATTTATAAACTTGGCTAAAATGGCTATTATAGCCAGTTAAACACAAATGGCAAGTAAACTGGCTCCTTTTTCTCATAAGATCGTTTTTGCCATCAAAATAAAGTCTGGCGACTTTATTTGAAATAAAAGTCGCTTGGAATGGACAAAACGATTCAAATTCAAATGATTATCCATTAAACGCCAAAGAAATTTATTTAAAAAAAAATTGTGTTTAAATGAAAAAAAAAAAAACAATATTTATCGAGTTATAGAAAAACCGACATTTGAAATACAACAAATCTCATATACTAATTTTATGGCATTTTTTCGTGTCTTGTAAGTCATACCTTATTATTCATACTTGAAGTACCAAATTGTGACTTAAGTAAAGGAACTCATAAATTTGTGCATTTAAATATTACATTTTTATATTCATTTTGACGAAATGCAGAATATAGATGGATTTAAAAGCCATCAAAAGCGCATCAAATGAAATCTAGACCAACCTATGTGTTTAAAAATATATTTCCCTTAAAATAGCTCAACATGATTTAATTTTATTGTAAACTGCACAAACAAACCATTCTTAGTAAAAGTATTGCTTTTTAGCAAAAAAAAAAAGTATGTTTCAATTTAAGGAACACATTTTTTATATATTCAACAGTCATTCATCGGTGATGAATCATCGCTCATAAAATCGACTAATTTATTGTCAAGAATGTGTAATTCATTGATTCCGGATTTCATTATTTTTGATATTATGTCAGCAACAACAAAGAAAGGATAAGCAAGCGACAATAACAGAGAAAACATTTGTTCACAAATTACGAAAAAAGAATCTCTTTGTTCTGGTTCACGGATATGAAATCGAAATTATGATATCAGCCATTGGGTATATAATATTGTTATTATTCGCTCAAAGATAAATAATTTGCCATTGAGATAAAAAATATTTCTCTCTGTATATGTCGAATATTATATTTACCGGTTAAAATCAACATGCATATAAATTTGGGTAGAAGTGGTGTCCGTGTGTGGTTCACATGATTCAGAAATGTCGGTTTATAGTGTGGTTTTATTTTCAAGGACATTCTGTGATATGTAAAACGGTAATGCCAGTAATTTTCTCTGTGTTGCCTTCATTTCATCGAAATTAAAATGTATTCAAAATGCTTATTTACTTACTGCACTCACTCGTATACATAAATAAAAATCATAGTTTGACGACGATCATATTTAACAAAAATAAAAAAAATATCAAGAAATTCTTGTGGGAGATTTGTCGTGATGATCGAATAGTCACTTTTATGAATGCGATTTAATTAAATACTTGAGTATTCACATTTATCGATTTCGGTTTGGCAAAAATAATAATTTGGATAATTTATGTGGGGTCGCCGTTGTGGTCATTTTTGAAACTTGATGTCGCGATATATAAACATTCAATTTTGAGCATCTTCTAGCAAAGTCGTTCCATTGATGAGTATTATTATTTTCTTGGCTTTGAATATAGTTTTTTTTTTTCGCAATGTCGGCGAATCACACCACAATCAAACGTACACACACACGTTCATCTTGAACTGTGGAAAAGTTTTAATTTAAAATTTATTGTTTTGCGTTGAAGATTTTAACCTTAAATTATGCGCGTCCATTAATCAAAATAGTTTAGGCCTAATCGCACTTTAAGGCTAATATGACTGAATCGATTGATAATAACACGGTGAAGCAATGAATTAATTTGCATACATTTTTTTATATTGATTTGAAGAAGAAAAACGGTATTGAAGACAGCCGAAACACACAAATTCTGGTGTGATGGATAAATTAAGCCGTCGTTGGCCATTACCGAAAGTATTCTAAATTCATGAGTGGTGTAAGCTATTTTTTTCGTCAATAATCTAGAATTTGATGGATGTGGATTGTGACCGAATGTGTCAAATGAGGTGTCGTATTTCTGACTGCGACACATATTTGATAAATGTGACGATAATTGAATTAAATCAATGAAAATTGATACTTTTTCCTCTCATGTTGAGCTCACACATCTTTTGAATTTTTTTTATCAACACCAAGTGCTAAACTCGCCATATTCATATTGCTATCAGATTTCATTGGCATCCATACATTAAATTCAACTTAATTGTATGGTATGTGTTTCAATGAAAATTAAAATCGTAAAAAGAGAGAGAGAGAATAAAACCATTCACAACCGAATCAAGAATGTTCAATGTCCTATGTCATACACATCTTGACCGACTTGAACTTCATTCCATAATGACTGAAAACAATTGTTTACGCAACTATTGCTTGTACTTAATCACAACGTTCGTACTTTCGCCATAAGCGTAAGGTAAATGGTTTTTTTTTGTTTTGCGTAAATTGATAGTTAATGAAGAGTGTGTATCGGATATAGCATGTGCGTATTACGACAATTTAATCCAATGCGTACTCTCGAATCGATCTTGATGGGGAAAAACAAAATAACACTCGTACCGATTAGACGTGCACGACCTTGACATCGTAACTCTAATTCATTGTTTTTTAATTTTCCTTTTACTGTTAAATCTTTACATCATTTTCATTTGTATCAATTTCTTCGGTTAACACTCTCTATTGATTTCACATTCATTCAATTTAATTCACTCAAAATCAATACGCTTATTTTGTACACATGCATCTGAAATTCGTATTTAAAACGACCGCATTTTTTCGTGTCATACACATTTTTTTCTCTTTTATTCCAAGATGGGTTTTTTTTGCTTCACCAAAAACAAAAGATTTAATTCCACGCAACAAACTGTGCACGAAACAAAACCAAAGAAATAGATCAAATGTTGTACGTCAAAAGTGCAAAAAATAATTTGCTAATTAATTTTGCATTGTTTTATTTGCTAATTAAATGTGAGGGAGAGACTGTAGCAAATATTCGCGCACACGATTCAATTATGTATAATATGGCTGCGATTAACTCTCGCACATTCTCAAAATTGATTTTACGTTGGACCAAAGAGACAAATGTAACGCCGTCACTCTGTATTTCTTAACTGGAGAAAAAATGTAATTGTTTGAGATGTGAAATTGTGTATACGATTTGCGCCCAGGTTCAAAATCAATGCAGAAAATCAGCTGTGTCAAATGTAGTAACAGTTGTTTTTTTTTTCTTCATTTTTTTTTCTTTCAAAGTAGGAAACGGTAACTTATTAATAACTGTATTATGACATGTGACCCAATATTCTTATCAATCAATCAAAATCAGACATTTATTCAAATTTTGTCGCCTCGAAACTCTTCTTCCATATCAAAATGATTAATTCCTTGTGACATTTCGATAAAATCTCAAAAAAATTGGCTTTTTGTCTTCAAATAACACCGACGATGACTAATTAATACGCATTTTACCTTTTAAACTGAAAAAAACGCGATGGGAGTCTTTTGTGCATGCAAAAAGTCCCGAATTTCGTCTTAATTTATGACTATTTATTATTATTTTTTTAATCTTTGTTTCATTTGCAATACGAAGAAAAGATGCAAAATTTAACATTTGAATGGTGAATAAGAAAATATTTTGTATTAATAAAAAAAATCCACACAACAATAGAGAAATGTCAGGCGAGATGTAAAAATGTTAATATCCATAAATAAAAATCGCATCAAAAATTTGGAGAAACTAGAAGATGAAGAATACAAAAAAATGAAACAAATCAGGTGTCGAATGCAGAATTGAAATGACCATGAAAATTGTGATGGAAATATTTTGTGAGCGGGCGCACATAACGTCATCATATGCATTTAACAATAGCTTGTGAACTGTTTTTTTTTTTTGCTTTTGGCCTGAATGAATTGAATTGCACGGAAAATGCCAGAGTTTCGAATGTTGAAGCTTTTTTTTTCGTCTTCATCGGTGATGATTTGCTCATCTCTCATCGTCGTTTCTGTGTCCCAAAAATAACAAATTATAAAATTACCAAGTTGAGAAACGAGTCGCAGTTAATTTGCCAACAACCATATAATAAAAATACAATCAAATTTCTTAATTTACATGTGAACGCCGACTGAATGGTCGGAAAATTATGTGCGCAGCGCGCAATTTGAAATGGTTACATTTTAATCGAATTAAAAATTATTCATTACACATTTTTGATTCGTCGCTTCTTTTAATTTCAATACAAAAAAAAAAAATATATTTAAATTTTGTGAAGCTAATCAATACGACAGAAAATTGGTTTTCAATTTGGTAACAAAAACCGTGTCACCATTTTTTTTGATCATAATAAAAATCGAGAAAATGTCGAATGACAACACATTTTCCATATTCAATTACATCTCGCCAAAATGAACTCGAATACAATGGTTTCTTGTCATATTTCACACAGGAGTTTCCGCAACGAGTTACATTCATTTTTCACTTTTAAAAGTTTCATAAATAATAATTTTTCATATTATTTTAGGTCAGAGTGTGTGCAGTTGAACTTGATTTAAAATAATTATACCTGTGGTGGAGTCGTGTGAAAATGAGCATAGACGAGACACATAGATTATTGTTTGTATGTAAATGAAAATTATGTTGACCAACATTCACATTTTGACAGACCATTCAGAGTGTCTTTGATTTGAATCCGACATGGTGTATAATATTCTAATGAGCTTGTCGAGTAATATTCGTAATCTCTTTTTTGAAATCGAGTGCGACGAGAGTGAAGCGCATTAGACTGGCTGAGAATGGATCAAAATAAAGTTAAAACGGCATCGAAACATTAAAGCAAACACCGTCTGCCTTGATTCTATTATTTTGGCATGATGATGCCAATGTTGATACCTTTCAACCCATTGTCCAGAAATAACTCAACTGTGCGCACACACACATCATGATAGACATAAACAAAGGTGAAAACGATCGGGTCGACGATTTACAGTAAGATCCAAATATTTGAAACGGTTTTAACCTTTGG